TTATTATTTAATAAATTAAAATTAATTTATAAATTGATATCTTTAAAATATTATAATTAATTATTTAAAAATTTATAAATAAATAAAATATTAATCAATTTAAATAATTTTTAATTGATCTTGACAAAATGGTGAATGCGTATAACCATAACCGTGTTTGGTTAATCACTTGCTTAGAAGAAAAATTTGAAGCCAAGTCAAATTGCCCATAACTTAGTTTAGGGTAAATAAAATTAGAGGTAAAAAATAATATATGGTGATAAAAAAAAAAGTGAAAATCAAGTTGTTTTAACTTTTAAAAAGTCAAGATTGTATATAAAATTATTTAAATATCCTCAATAAATCTTCTTCGTAGGTTGAGTCATTAAAGACATTTACATTTTTTCATTATCATTTCTAAAATTTTAATGACCATGATATCCTGATTTTCCACAATTTTATGTGGTCATATAAAAAAGGTTAAAACTCCTTTTTGTCCCTCTATTTTAACAAAAAAAAAAAATTTAGTGCCAAGAAAACTCCTTTTTAGTCTTTAAAATTTAAAATCCAACCTCTTTTTAGCCTTGTCGTTATTTTTTTTCTCATATAACATGTTATCTTAATGGAAATTTCAAAAATATAGAGATTAAAAAGTGGTTTTTTTAGTAGAAGGAGTAAAAGGAGCTCTTTTTAAAGTAAATGGACCAAAAATAGACTAAAAATTTTTATTATTTAACGTGTTATATGTGCAAAAATAACAGAAAGACTAAAAAAGACTTGATTTTAAACTTTAAAAATTAAAAATAAACTTTTTTAAGTAGATGGATTAAAAAGGGACTCTTTGTTAAAGTAAAGAGCTCAAAATAGAGTTTTAACCTTAAAAAAAAAAAAAATAAGTAGTTGTTCATTACCTATCCCATATGCATGCCTACATTTTGAACTTATAATCTCTTACTCTACTTAATGGGAAATTACTACTACCTCACTTAATTCTTAGCATATGATTGTTACAAATTTTTTTTATCAACATGAATGTTGCAATTAATCACTATTACTTGATTTGATTGTCAAAATAACTATGTTTTAAGGCAAATGATATAATTATAATATTACTTGATATTGAAACTTTACAATAATTATTTGTCATTATTTAATTTTTTTTAAAATTTATTTATAATATTATATGTATTTACTTATTTAATATTATATATTAATTGTGGATCATTTAATAGAAGTTCCTTTTATCTCAAGAGTTCGGTGATATTGATGATGGCTTGAGAAAGAAAGGGAAAGGTGTGAGTAAAGGGAAGTGGAAATCATTAGGGCGTGGGTTAGATACTTTTTTTTTTTTTTTTTTTGGTAGAAGTGGGTTAGATACTTTATCAAACTAGTCTGCATGAGGCAAAAGGAAAAACAATTCGGAAGCTATGGAGGACGAGAGAGTGTCCAAGGTGTGTTTGCAGACAATATGAGAGTGGCTGTGGTTCGGATGGGTGATGAGGGCCTTGACCCTCTTGTAGGTTGGTGGCTGTGATACGATGGGATGACATTTAGCAGTATGGGGAATGTTAATGTCAGATTATACCTATTCACTCCGTGGAGCCGGCTTAATAGGTGAGGATGACCCGTGGCTCATGATGCTGGTAACAACCATTTTTTTACGGTAGTACCTTTTGTTTCGGCCCATAAAGTGATATATTGCACTTGCAGTCTTTGCCCTCTGTTTAGATTGAGGAAGTTAGATGGGAAGAAGTGCAGAGAGTACTTTTTTTTTATTTAGATAGATAATTTTAATAGAAGGGAGGGAGACGGAGTTTCTCCTCATTTATTTTCAATCCTTTTAATTTGAAAAGATTGTGACGAATTATGTTGTATAACTTATTTTTGCTTTTAAATTTTTTTAAAAATAACTTTACATTTAAATATTTTATTTTAATTAATTATTTAATTAATAAATTTTAAAATTTTAAAATTTTTATTTTATTTTTTATTAAATTATTTAATTAAATAAAAATATTATCCTCCCCTTTTTCACTTTTATATATTCAAACAAAACTAATATCAACATTTTCCTTCCTTTCACTTCTCCTCCTTTTCCTTCCCATCCCTCTCCTTCCCTTCATTTCCTTTACTAATTTTTATCCAAATATAAGCTTTAGTATGAGATGGCTGCCTTAAGTTTATTGTCTGTAATTGTTATTGGCATATTTTAAATCTATTACTAATGTTGTAGTTAGTGTTTCTATTTTTAAGCTACAGTGTTTTGACATGGGACTTTAATTGTAGTCTCTTTAATTTTAATTTTAATAAAGTCCTTGTGGTTCATAAAAAATAATGTATTATAATTATAAATTTATAATTATACGTAATATTGTAAATATAACTTTACTAACCTTAAATAAGCAAAATAGTTTTGCCTTCTAAAATTTTGAACAATAATTATAATACACTTCTCAATTTAACACATTTATTAAGAAATTAGTATTTTTAAATTAAAATTAAAAATAAAAACTTAAAGTTACAAATTTTAATAATTAAATTAATAAATATTGACGAATATATTAAATTAAATGATATACAAATTACTTTCTAAAATTTTTCGTGCCAAAAGGGGGGAGGAACAATATTAAGAGATTAAAAGAGAGATTTTTCTCAGTTAAGAGGTGATTTGAAAGAGTTAGGCTTGATCTGAAAGTCTAACTTAATATACCCCTACTAAATTAGGTTTTGAGCACAAATCATAACTTTCTCTTATTAGGCCTATTTAATAATTTTCTTATCGCATTTGGTCTTTCAAATTAACTGACACTCTATCAGGTTGAGGTACATTCTTTTTTTCCTATGAACGGATTTCGACTCCGTCATTTGACAACTTGTTCAAAAAAAAATTTTCCTCATCAAAATTTTTATATTAATTTCTTATTAAGTAAAAAAATTAATAATCTAATAAAATAATAATAAAATTTTAATATAAATTTATTTTATATATCAAATAATAAATTATATAATAAAATAACCATTTTCACTTGCCTTAAGAGTTAAATTTAAAAACTCTAATAAAAATATTTAAGCTTTTAATTATTAAAAATTCTCTTATAAAACCAAAATTTTAAAACTTTTTTATGAAATATTTTCCAAACTACTTTTTATATAAACACTTTCCTATTAAAATTATCTTCTAACCAAGTACAAATAGGAGCTAAGGATAAGGTCGTTGAATTAATGTGATAATTTAAAGCCTATCTTCGTCCGACCTTCTGGAAGCTACAGTATCATCCAGTGCGATGCAAACTAGATTGAGGTTCCTCCGACCTTCTAGAAGCTAAGACGCTACGGTATCATCCAGTGCAACGCAAACTGGATTAATAAACAAAAGCAAGCCAGCAAATCACGTGCAATACATTTTACTTAAAGAATATATATATATTCCCTAACAACATAAATCATTTAATAATTTTTTTAAAATAAAAAATTTTAAATTTAAATAGTATAATATATAAATAAAATAAAAATAATTATCTTTTATTTTATAATTAATATAAAAAAATAAAAATAAATATATATTTTTATATAGAACGTCGTACCAAGATTATTCTTTTTTAAACTACAACAGTCTTTCTGTTACCACAAATTTCGTTTCCAACTTAAATTCTTAGCTGTAAATGCTACGTTGTGTTTTCTCACTTTCCCAACCTTCACACCTTACACATAGAAATGATAAAAAGAAAGAAAATTTAAGATTAATAATATGATTTATGTTGTGTTTTTAAAATTAATTGATGTATATAAGGTTTAAAAAAATAAAAAATTAATAATTAAATAATATAAAATTTGTTTTTAAATATTTTAAATAATATAATTTATACTATATTACTAACCTTAAATTTTAATTTTATTTATCATTTTTTTTAATAGTCCGTGATTTTTTACCCTTTTTGTGAGTGGAAACATGGTTGGCCCGAACTCGATCGGGAGCTCATCATACTAGAGAAGATGTCATTTTAAATAAGAAATACATATTTATTAAATTTAGAAGTTTTTAGGGGCAAAGACAAAGGAGTTGCTGCACCTTACATTTTTAAAAAATGTCAAATATAATATATATATATATTTTGTCTTTTATAAATTTTTGTTTTTGAAGTCTGGATTACGGGAACTATTTAAATAAAAAAAGAATTATCTCTCTTTTTATGAGTAATTTTTATAAAGATTTAATAATTCTATTTTGATGAGGATAAATTTATAAAATAATTAAAATTTAATTTTATTAATGTAAGTTATATAAATTTTTATATTAAATATGTATAATTTTTTAGCACAATTTATATTTGATTAAATCAACAATTAAATTTATTTTATTTATATAAATTATATATTTTAAATATAAAATTGATTATGTATATAATTTTAAAAAAACTATATTTTTATATAATTTATTTAAGGATCATAAATTTTATACTATTTAAAAATAATTAAATATATCTTTTCAATTTAAAATTTAATATGAATAAAATACGTAATACGTGTATAAAATTAATAATAAATTTAAAAATTAATATAAATCATATCATATAAATTAATAAATAACTCATATAAAATTATAAAATTTTTATCCTTAATTTAAATTTTGGACTCCATCCTTGTGTATATGGCACTCTTTTATCGTATTCTCCTTTAATATAAAATCTTTACATATTTTTTAAGACTACCTCGTGCATAAACCTTGTACTCTAATAAGGAGAGTATCTTTTTCAAAAAAAATTTTTGGGTGAAACATCTATTCCAATTTGCTCAAGCTAAGTTCAAGCCTCGGCATACAACGCCATGTCACTCCTGAGACCCCACCAAAATCACGATTAGGTGGTATATCCTAAAAAAAAATTTAGAAATAATTTTATTTATATTATTTTTTAGTATAATTTTGGGTGTTACTTAAATAATTAATTTTTTTTAATTTATAATATTAAATATATTTACTTATTTAATAATACATAAAAATTATATAAAAAATAATATAAAAAAAATTATACCTATATCACTTTCTATAACCTCATTGTTAATGTCAAACACCCAATAGAAACTGTAACAGTCTATAACCTCATTGCTAATGTCAAACACCCACTAAAAGCTAATTTCTAACCATAGGGTAGGAGGACAGCGGCTGATTTGCGCATTTAAATGAATTAACCCCACAAGCGGTACTCCTTAAGCAAAGCAAGCTTTAAAAGATAATCGAAAAGTCCGCCCCCACCAAAAAAAAAAACACTTTGTCCTCCTTCCAAGCATCTAGATATTTTTTAATTTAACTCTTGAATCAATTGATTAAGAGTTATAAAGTTTTAATTTTAAATTTAAATTTTAATTAAAGTAAGGTGAAATTTGAGAAAAAAAAATAATAGTTATATTTTTTTATATAAGATGTCAAAAAATATTAAATACTTTTTATTTGTTTTTAGGTAAATTTTTAAAGAATTTTTTAACTTATATTTTAAGAATATGTGTTATGATTTTTTTCTCAAAAATTTATAAACATTTTGATTGGATTTAATTTATTTCCCACTCTAAAGAGAAGTAATTTGATTTAGTTGCCTTATTTTTATTTTAATAATATATTAAATGTTAATATTTCAATTTTATTTTTATTTCAAATGATATAGAAATGCATTAAGATTTTTTTCTTAATTATAAATAAATGTAAAAATAAGAGATAAATTTTAATTATTATAATAACAAATTTTAAATAATCATAAATAATTAAATAAAATAATTAAATTCAACTAGAAATAACAAAAAAAAATATAAATTGTTATTAATTTTAAATAAATTTAATTTTTTTTTCTTTTTGATCATTTTGGCAAGGGACGGGTTTCGAACTCGTCTAGAGGAGGGGGGCAGTGCACCATCAATCTAACTAATGTCAGTGGACCTAAACGCTCAAGTGTTTAAATAAATTTAATTAAAAATTAATTTATTATAAAAATATATTTATTATAATATTTTTAACTTATTAAAAAAATAATATATAATATATAAGTTACTATTTATTTGATTTGAAGCATCTGGATTTTAAGATTTAATTCTTTCTCATTTTTAAAATGGCGCCAGCCAGCCGCGCTCCGAAAAGTTGACTACATCCCACTCCTTCCTTGACTAACCCTGCCCTTTATTACCTTGCGCCGCTGAGCTCTTACTCTCACCATCCCAACTCAATGCCATCATTTCCACCACCTTTTTTCTCTCTCTTTTCCTTTTTAGTTCAGATTCAGCAGAATTTTAATTAACAGAACCAAAATTACTCCTCCTCCACTGATTCAAGTTTGAGACGGGTTTTTTTTTTTTTTTTTTTTTTTTGGTTTCCAAAAAAGTGAGAAATGAAATCCATACGTTTTCCAAAACTTCTGTAAATTTCAGTTAAAAACGAAAAAAACTTCTGTAAATTTGGTTAGAAAGCAAATTTTTTGTTTTTTGGGTTTTTGAGGGATCATTTTAGCGCCAAAATAGTTCTCCATGGCTTCCGCTCTTGCTGGAGACGATCTCGCGAGATCGATGGGCAGTAGGGGGAGTTGGTCGTCGACTAGCCACCGGAGCTGGGCGGCGGCGAGCTTCAGGGAGGCCTGGCAAGGACAACAACCGGAAGTGTTCAACAGAAGTGGCAGGCAGCAGGACGACGAGGAAGAGCTCCAGTGGGCTGCCATCGAACGGCTACCGACCTTTGATCGGTTGAGGAAGGGGATGCTCAGGCAGGTGCTCGACAATGGGATAGTCGTTAACAACGAAGTCGATGTCACGAAGCTTGGACTGCAAGATAAGAAGATGTTGATGGACAGTATATTGAAGGTGGCTGAGGACGATAACGAAAAATTTCTCCAGAAATTAAGAGACAGAACTGATAGGTAAATTAAATTCCATTACGAATTAAAAAGTTAATCAATTAATTTCTTCTTTCTTTTTCTTTCTTCTTTATAAGATTTGATTCGAGTTCTGTTTGGGTGTAGGGTGGGGATTGAGATTCCGAAGATCGAAGTCCGATACGAGCATTTATCAGTGGAGGGAGATGTGTATGTAGGGAGCAGAGCTCTTCCTACTGTGCTTAACGTTACCTTGAACACCATAGAGGTATATGAATTTTTATTTTATTTATTTTTATTTTAATTTTGAATCTTGATCACTGAATTTTTGGGTATTTGAGAATTCAATAAGAAAAGTTTTTAGGATCTATTAATTTTCAATACTTTTTTTCTGGGGTAGTATTATAGATTTTGAAAATGAAAAGAAAAACTACCCACATGGAGCGGAGAAAATTCTTAGTTTTTCAGTATGGTCAGTCATTTTCCCAAAGATTTTTCCATTCTTTTGTTTTTTTGTCTTCATATACTTGTTTTTTTCTTTATATGTCGTATTGTATTGGTAAAATAGTTATTTCTTTTTCTTTTCCTTTCCTTTTTTAATCTTGTGAAAGATGATAATGTTTTCTTTTCTTTTTTTTCTTTTTTTTTTTTTTCCTTTTTTGGGTGAATAGAGTATTCTGGGATTATTTCGGCTTGTACCGTCCAGGAAGAGAAAGATTCAGATACTTAAAGATGTCAGTGGAATAATCAAACCTTCAAGGTAATCTTTAAGTGCTAAAAATGGCAAAATTCCATCTTCCTGGGTCTTTTGGCAGAGTTTATTGTTTATAATATGGTTGGTTTGAAGAAAACGGAAAAGGAGAGAAGGGAAATGGGACGATATGGATAGAGGATTTTTTTTTTTCTCATCTCCTTTCCTCAAACTGAATATATTATTAATGATATTGACTTTTTTTTAATCATTTAGTCAAATGGATAGTTCTATTTTGCCTCCCCAGTTTGGATATTGGATCTTATATTAATTATGTATTGACAATTTAAGCACTGAAATTTTCAGGATGACCCTACTGCTTGGTCCTCCAGGTGCAGGGAAAACAACAGTATTGCTGGCGCTTGCTGGAAAGCTTGATCGTAATCTAAAGGTGTGTTTCCAATCTCTAAAAGTTGCTATTTCATAGCAAGTTAATTTGAAAAACCTGTGGTGGCAAGTATAGATTATTTAATATGTCTCCTAGTAATGACTTGGAGTTTTGAGTACAGGAGTCTGGGAGAGTCACATATTGTGGTCATGAATTGACTGAGTTTGTTCCTCGAAGGACCTGTGCTTATATTAGTCAGCACGATCTTCACTATGGTGAAATGACAGTGAGGGAGACACTGGATTTCTCAGGACGCTGTTTAGGTGTTGGCACCAGATATGAGTTGTTGGCAGAACTGTCAAGACGAGAGAAAGAAGCAGGTATTAAGCCAGATCCTGAAATTGATGCCTTCATGAAGGCCATATCAATGGCGGGCCAAGAAACTAGTTTGGTCACGGATTACGTTCTTAAGGTTCGTTTTCCCAGGGCCTGAAAATGTTTACATGTCTCTTTGTTTATTTAATAGGACAGTTCCTGAAAACTGTATTTAAGAATCTTTAACAGATACTTGGATTGGACATTTGTTCTGATATTATGGTTGGAGATGCAATGCGAAGGGGAATTTCTGGTGGACAAAAGAAGCGTGTGACTACAGGTATGTTTGGTTGGACAACTTTAATTATATTATCGAAATTTTTGTTTTCTTCCAGCTCCATACGTACATACATTTGTTTCATGTTGTCTAAGTCACTCCATGCTGAAATATGAGATTCATTTATTTTTCTAGATATATTCATTTATGGATGATGTATCTTCTCTCTATGGTCTTTTATTTTTTTCCAATCTAATGATTTTTATTCAAAGATATCAATTGTGTTTTCTTGTGAATGCTTCTTTACTGTCTTTTCAGTTTACTTCTTTGTCTAAGGACTGGCAGTGCTTGTTGCATTAGCTTCCTAGCTACTTACTCTCCAACTTCTTTGAAGAAGTGCATTACCATATATGTTTTCTTGATATTCTGTTTCTCTCTTCTTCTTCTTCTTTCTTTCTTTCTTTCTTTTCCTTTTTTTTTTCTTTCCCATATAGCTTGTATGTAAACATTTATAAGAAAACATTTCCAGTCTATAGCTTTTTGTTTAACTTGTATGCAGGAGAGATGTTGGTTGGACCAGCAAAGGTTTTTTTTATGGATGAAATATCAACAGGGTTGGACAGTTCTACCACTTTCCAGATTTGTAGATTTATGAGGCAAATGGTTCATATCATGGATATAACCATGGTCATATCACTATTACAGCCAGCACCAGAGACATTTAATCTTTTTGATGATGTTATCCTACTTTCAGAAGGTCAAACTGTCTACCATGGTCCACGTGAAAATGCCCTTGAGTTCTTTGAATACATGGGTTTCAAATGCCCAGAAAGGAAGGGAGTCGCTGACTTTCTGCAAGAAGTAACTTCAAAGAAGGACCAAGAACAATACTGGTTCAGGAAGAACCAAACTTATAGATATATTTCAGTTCCTGAATTCGTGCAGGGCTTCTACTCTTTCCACATTGGCCAACAACTTGCAGCAGATCTTAGCATTCCTTATGATAAATCCCAAACACACCCTGCTGCATTAGTCACAGAAAAATATGGCATTTCTAATTGGGAATTGTTCAAGGCATGCTTTTCAAGGGAGTGGCTATTAATGAAGCGCAACTCTTTTGTATACATATTCAAGACAACCCAGATAACAATCATGTCAATTTTTGCCTTCACTGTGTTCTTGAGAACAGAAATGCCGGTGGGCACAATAGCAGATGGGCAGAAGTTTTATGGAGCTCTCTTTTTCTGTCTGATCAATGTCATGTTTAATGGGATGGCAGAACTGGCAATGACTGTTTTCAGGCTTCCTGTCTTCTATAAACAGAGGGATTTCTTGTTCTATCCTGCTTGGGCTTTTGCCTTACCTATATGGATTCTCAGGATCCCATTGTCACTTATGGAATCAGCAATATGGATTGTCCTTACATACTACACTATTGGCTTTGCTCCAGCTGCTAGCAGGTGATAGCCATGATATAACTTTAATTTAGAAGTTACTTAGAATCATCATTTGGAAACTTAGTAACTTTTGAATTTATAAATTTATATTTCTATAATATTGGTTTAATTTAAGGACATTACATTCATGTTTTCTTTGACCAAACTCTTGTTTTGCTTCCAGGTTCTTCCGACAGTTTTTGGCCTTCTTTGGTATACATCAGATGGCTTTGTCACTCTTTCGGTTCATTGCTGCTGTGGGAAGAACAGAAGTTGTTGCAAACACACTGGGTACCTTCACGTTGCTACTTGTTTTCACACTTGGAGGTTTCATTATCGCCAGAAGTAAGTAGTTGGGCATCTTGATGTTCTTAATATATGATATTAATGAAAACTAGATAATAGCTTCACTTTTGATTGCTCATTTTTTATTTTTTATTTTTTATTTTTAAATATTTGCTTCAGTTGAGCATTCTTTTCCTTTTTGTCCTTGTAGATGACCTTGAGCCATGGATGAAATGGGGATACTATGTTTCTCCTATGATGTATGGACAGAATGCTTTAGTCATGAATGAATTTCTTGATAAAAGATGGAGTGCGGTAAGATCTTTTACATTAGTGGATTAAGGGTCTGTTTGGTTTAGCTTTTCGGAGCTTTTGCTTTTTCAGTACTGTTTATGAGTGATAAGTTTAAATTTTTATTGGAGGGAAAATTTAAAAGTTGCTTTTAGAGATAGGAAAAAATGAGTAACAAGTGAGTGAAAAGGAAGTTTATGAAAAGCAAAAGTTTGAAGCTTTTGAGCTTTTACTGTTTCGGGTCTTTTTAAAGTTAAAAAAAAGAATAAAAATGTAAGTTTTCAAGAGGGAAATTTAAACTTATAAAACATGAATAGTGTTAAAAAGCTGAAGCTCCAAGAAGCTAACCCAAACATGCTGTAAGTTTATGCTAGTGTATGGTGGCATTTGCACGTATAAGCTTTGATTAGGCATTTATTATTCTCTTGACCATAAGCCTTGCATCAATGTCTTGCAAACTTTGGTTGAAAGCAGAAAAATACAGACCCCAGATTTACTGCACCTACTGTAGGAAAAGTTCTTCTTGAGGCCAGAGGCTTTTTTACACAAGAGTACTGGTTTTGGATCTGTGTTGGAGCACTATTTGCGTTTTCTCTTCTCTTCAACATTTTATTTATTGTAGCATTGAGTTTCTTGAAACGTAAGTTACATCATATTATTTGCTCTTCATTCCTTTTTTTTTTTTTTGGTCAATTTGTTCATTTTTATTGAAATCTCAAAATTGATGAAACCATTTTACATGGACTGGTTTTCAGCTCTGGGCAATTCCAAAGCATTTGTTGTGGATGAAGATGCTAACAAGAATAAGAAGTCATCTTCTGGACAAAATACAACGGAAGGTCAAGCCTTTTATGCTATCTCTTGCTTTATTTCTTTCCTGTTGTAGTGAAGTTCATAATAACTATAAATCCTTCTCTTTCAGAGGTAGGTATTCTGTAAACATGTCATGAAATAATGTAAAATGTATATCTCGTTGAACAAAACAACTCTTCCAGGAAGGACATGTGCAAAAAGTGAATCCCAGACCCAGTGTTCGATCTGTTTAAATACCTTGCTTTTGTGAACAATACAGGTATTGACTTGCCAGTGAGAAGATCCTCAGAAATTGTTGATACTACCGATCAGGGATCTAGAAGGGGAATGATTTTACCCTTCCAACCCCTTTCACTTGTATTCAACCATATGAACTACTTTGTGGATATGCCTGCTGTAAGTTGTAAAGATTTCATTTCATGTTTAGGCAAAAAAACATTTCATTTCCAGAATTTTTATTGTTGTCTGCAAAATTTGAGGGTGAAATATGGTTTGTTCCAGGAAATGAAGACTCATGGTGTTGAAGAAGACCGTCTTCAGCTGCTACGAGATGTCAGTGGTGCTTTCAGACCAGGGATATTGACAGCACTAGTGGGTGTCAGTGGTGCTGGGAAGACAACCCTGATGGATGTTTTGGCAGGAAGGAAAACAGGTGGTTACATCGAAGGAAGTATTATCATCGCTGGTTACCCAAAGAACCAGGCTACATTTGCTCGTGTGAGTGGGTACTGTGAACAGAATGACATTCATTCACCACATGTCACTGTTTATGAATCTCTACTATACTCGGCATGGCTCCGTCTTTCTTCAGACATAGACTCCAAGACACGAAAGGTATATTTTATGAAATATGTGGAAGGGTGTCCTTTCCTTGCCTGTTACCAATATTTGTACTACAGCTTATGATTTTGATTTTTCTTCTTTGGTATAAAGATGTTCGTTGAAGAAGTTATGGAGTTGGTTGAGCTCAACCCAATAAGAAATGCTCTAGTTGGCCTTCCAGGAGTAAATGGTCTTTCCACAGAACAGAGGAAGAGGTTGACAATAGCTGTAGAGTTGGTTGCTAACCCCTCAATCATCTTTATGGATGAGCCAACATCTGGCCTAGATGCCAGAGCTGCTGCCATTGTCATGCGTACAGTGAGAAATACCGTGGATACAGGGAGAACTGTTGTGTGCACAATTCACCAGCCAAGCATAGATATCTTTGAAGCTTTTGATGAGGTATAGGTCAATTTGCTATTTAAATTTTTAGTCCCAGAATGTTTCACCTCATTTTTTTCTCTTCTCATCACATGCACTTGGCTATGTTGTGGTGCTGCAGTTGCTTTTGATGAAAAGAGGAGGACAAGTCATTTATGCTGGACCTCTTGGTCGCCAATCTCACAAACTCATAGAATATTTTGAGGTGAGACTTTTACTTGTGTACATTTTAACATTGTGTTTTGCTAAGAGAAACTGCAGCTTGTACTAAACAGTATGTACTACTGCAGGCCATTGCAGAGGTTCCAAAGATCAAGGAGGGATATAATCCAGCAACGTGGATGCTCGAGGTCAGTGCTCCTGCAGTTGAGGCTCAACTGAATATAGATTTTGCAGAACTTTATGCCAATTCCTCGCTTTATCAGTAAGTGTGAATTTCACGCCATTTCCCCCGCTCAAGTAGCCAAGGATTTGTAGTTTTTTATCATTCTGAATTTCTTTGTTTCCAAACTTCCAGGAGGAACCAGGAACTTATCAAAGAGCTCAGTGCTCCAGCTCCAGGATCCAAGGACCTCTACTTCCCTACCAAATATTCTCAACCATTCCTTACACAGTGCATGGCTTGTTTCTGGAAACAACATTGGTCTTACTGGAGGAACCCTCAGTATAGTGCTGTGCGGCTCTTCATTACAATAGTTATTGGCATCTTGTTTGGTCTAATCTTCTGGGATAAAGGGCAAAAGACGTAAGTCTGAATTCTATTTTAGTGAGTGAATACAGCTCTTTTCTTTGATAATTGCAAAGTTTGTGCGGGAAGCTGGGAAACAGTTTTCCTATCTGGGTACTGTTACATCAATTAAAGTACTATTAGCAATGGCCTCTTTGTTATTCAGTTGTGAATTCTTATTTCCTGCTGCTAGGCTGAGGATTTGGTATGTGTCTCAAAATTTCCTAAATTTTCTTGTTAACAGAACAAAGCAACAAGATTTGATGAATCTTTTTGGAGCAATGTATTGTGCTGTGCTTTTCCTTGGAGCCACCAATGCTTCTGCCGTTCAACCTGTAGTTTCAATAGAGAGAACAGTCTTCTACCGTGAAAGAGCAGCTGGGATGTATTCTGCACTGCCTTATGCGTTTGCTCAGGTGAAATATTGCACTCAAAAGAACTTACTCATCAACAGAGTAGATCTATATTGTTGAGAGAGTAGTTTAAAATCAAAGGAATTGATTTGAATGCAAAATGCTTGACCAGTTGACATTTTCCTTGTTTTCCAGGTTGCCATAGAGACCATCTATATTGCAATTCAAACTGTCATTTATGTTCTGCTTCTGTACTCTATGATCGGGTTTGAGTGGAAGCTGGCGAAGTTCTTATGGTTCTACTACTTTATTTTTATGTCCTTCAGTTACTTCACATTGTACGGGATGATGGTTGTTGCATTGACTCCTGGTCACCAAATTGCCGCCATTGTTATGTCCTTCTTCCTTAGCTTCTGGAACTTGTTCTCGGGTTTTCTCATCCCTAGGATCGTAAGTGATCTTGTAGTCACTATTCTCTTCAAATGTTTCGAATTCACTTCACTTGTTTGGATTCATCACCTGAAAAATCTTTGTTCATCCAATGCAGCAACTCCCAATATGGTGGAGGTGGTATTATTGGGCAGATCCCGTTGCGTGGACACTCTATGGCCTTATAACCTCTCAAGTGGGTGACAAAAACTCCCTTGTCGAGATACCTGGAGCTGGTAGTATACCTCTAAAGCCATTACTTAAGGCAAGCTTGGGATTCAAGTATGATTTTCTCCCTGCTGTTGCCATAGCTCATGTTGGCTTCTGTCTGCTCTTCCTCTTTGTCTTTGCATATGGCATCAAGTACCTCAACTTCCAAAGGAGATAGATAACCAGCGTTCTCTCGAAAAGAGTTTAGTTTCAGGATTATCCATAACATTATTTGGAAAAATACATGCAAGTAGAGTAGAGTTTTGTTCTTGGATTGTGTTAATATTCTTTTGTTTGGTTTTTCAATAAGAGCCATAAATTGGGCCGCTGTACCACAGGAAAGAAAGATTTCCTCTCTTTTTTTTTTTTTTCTTTTTTGGAACAAACATTAAAGTTTGTCCCTAAACATGTAAGCTTCTATTGTGAAATAAGTTTATTGTTTTATCATAGTTAATTAGTCACTGATTCTACCTATTTGTCTTATTCTTACGTAACTTAAGAGCCACTGTCCCAACAACAGCCAAGGCTCTATCTTATCCGCAATCTTACATTATTCTTAAAACAAAGATGATTTAATTGAAATTTTTTGCCCCCCAAATATATTTAAGAGAGATAAATGAATTATAATAAAGTGTTGTATAGTTTAAATTATACAACATTTATTGTTTTGTAATATTAAGGTTATTTTTTATTTAATAATATATAT